GCCCATAGGAGTGTTAATGTCACAGACACAAACTCCCACACAGATAGATTTATATTCTGCCAGCCAAAGGTTAGCTTATAAACTAAGGACTAAAGCAACATCCTACATTTCCTGTAGGAGAAAATTAAACTGAAACCAGAGATTTGCCTCAGCATAAAAGTACCTAACCTTGGAGAACTTTTCACTGTGTGAACCACATTTTATTTCACATTGCCTGAAGATAATAAAATGTAATGAGATCTGCTCCCTGAAAGTCTGTAGGAAAGACAAGCGAAAACAGACTTTAAAGGTGGCAAGGGACTCCCTTGCCTTTTCATTTGTTGGGTTTAATTGCTATCCTGAATGTGAGCCATCAAAGGAACCCATGCCATGATTGGAAGCCATATTGTTCCCCTGTGGGTACTTTCTTTCTTCATTTGATGGCACAAGCAAAGTCCTTTGTCCAACTCCTGTGGTCGGTCCATCTGTCTGGATGTTGCTGTTGTCGCTGCTGCATGTCATACTGGCCCCAGGGGGTCTTTAGATTGTGGTTCTATGCAAATTAATTTCCTGACAAAATCATTTCAGACCTGGAAGCTGCATTTCAGTGCACTTCTTGTGAGTGGACATGAAGCAAAACAGAAAATTATTTTCAAGAGCAAGCTGTTTCTCAGTGTTATTTTGTTTTGATGAGTAGGAAGAGGAGCAAATGCTTTGCATTTCCTGTGCACAGTGGCAAGTATGAAGGTGCAGAGCCACTGTGAAGTACAGTTCAATCCCATAACCATCCCAGGTTAGCACTCCTACTTTCTCTGCTTGGAACAAATCTGTGACCAGCCTGGTTGTAGAATCTCTGGGCAGAAACCAGGCTTGGGGACCTGAAGTGACTCAGGTAGCTCCTCGGACCTCTGTGCCTCCACTTCCCACTTATTTTCAACAAGTGTGATGCTGGCTGGGCTGTATCCATCAGTGGTAGTTCATATCTCACCGATGCAGCTTTTTTAGAGCCTCGGTTGAAAAGCAAAGTATGATGCAACTCCTGAGAACTTGGTCCTTTAAAAGTCCCACTGAAAAGCAGCTCTTACTGTGACCATCAGACCATTGCCTATATCTGAACAGGAGCTTCCTGTGCTGGCTTCTTGAGCTCCTATCACTAAGCAACGGGTTGGCTGCATTTCAGTGGGCCATTTCTGTTGTTGCTACTCTATGTACCCCCCTTGCTCCCTTAAACAATGACTGGAAATGGCATACAAGGAAACTGAGCAGTTTATAAGGTCCACAAGAAAGAGTTAGGGTGGAGTCTCCTCAAGTAAAGCCATGGCCACAGAGGTGAGGTGGTGTGGCATGCTGAAGTGACACCTGCCAACATCAGCACCCAGTGAGGGCTGGGTTTGCCATGTCAAAGATGTCCATCTCCTAGGCTGGGTTCTTCTAGCGGATGGCCAAGGCTGTCCATGACTAAAATGCCTGTGTGATCACAGCAGCTAAATTAGGTCCTTAAAACAGGGACCTGGGGTGCATCCTCAGCATCTCTCCTATGAAGGCAGCCAGGTCTGTCAGTAGCACAGATCAGGTGAGTTGAATCTCTTCCCAAGTCATTGATTTCTGAGTGTGTCTTGATTTCCCTTATACATCACCTAAATACAGCATCAATCCATCAGGAGGCCACAGACATATAAAGTTTTTTTTCTCCAGAGAGGCCTAAAGCTGCAGCAGTGATGCCCACGACCACAAACTTTCCATCAGTCTGATGCCACCCAAGGGTTGGGTGGAAGGGAAGTGGAATAAGGCTTCATTACACTGCTATGGGACAGAGCTGATTCTAGGAGTTAATGGAAATACTGTGGGAAGAAGTGTGCACAGAGAGAAACGTCTTTCATTTGATTACAATAAAAAATTTATTTTGATTCATATCATACTGAAAAATTAAATAAATAAAATGAATAAAATAGAATGATTGAGACTCTCCACCATCAGAGAAAAAAAATATTATCATAATCAATCATGTAGTCAAAGAAAAATAGGAAGAAAATCCGGTCACGAGAGAAAAAAGTGCTCAAGACATTTGGCTTTGGTAAAAAACATAACACACACTCAAGGAGCATTTCAGAGACATTGCAATGGTGGCAAATACAGTCCAAGAGTTTGAAGCTTTGACGTGTTGTTAAATTTCTTCCTTTGTTCTTTTAAACAAAATAAACCCAGAAAGTTTCTAGCAAGGACACAGAGAGTCTCCAACATTGGCAGTGGGAATTAATTCTTCCCTCAGCATCATCTGTTGGTATCTTCTTATCCTGAAGGCATTTGAAAGAGCAGCAAAATGGTGGAGAAACTGAGATAAAGATCAAACACAACAGTCAGTTGCCTGAAGGACTCTAGAAAAAGTTCCTCTGGAAAAGAAATGTGATGGCACAGACTATATCCCTCATCCTACAGCTAGAAAGGTCCACTCTCTGCTCTCCTCATGCTTTGAAAAATGGACATCAGTGGTAGACAGTTACTGCTTGCTGTCAGCAAGAAAATCAAATGGGAATTGCAGCTTGTTCCATGATGGAGACACTAAACCTATCCACAGTACTACGAGCCGTGAAGTTTCGTATGTGCTGTCAGAGGCAGAATATTGAAGGGAAAACTGGAAATTTAATTTGGAGAGCAAAATCAAACTTTCAGAGCAACACAGGCTAGAAGGCAGCTGATTTTTTTACACTTTCTGTGATCCCAAATTTCCACCTGTTATAAAAAATGGTAAAGGGGATGTGGGTACCAAACCACCATGAGTTTTCTTCCAAGCCTTTGTGAAAATGACTGGGGCAACAATGAAATGTTTCTTAATTACTGAGAACTGCCATGAGAAAAAAAATTCAAATCTTATATTATTCAAATATATCATTTGAAGCTCACGATGAAGAAAGTATCTCCAAAATCCAGCCACAGGGTGAAGATACCATTGGGGTCTTCCATGGAGTCTTTTTCCTCTAAAAGTTGCTTTACTTGTGTATTACTGTGACATCTCACCAGATGACTAACAACAATTTGATTGAGTATTGATTGATAACAATTTAAATAGTGGGAATGCTTAGAACAAACAAACATAGTTCAGGTAGAAGTGTTCCATTCTTTTACAAAGAACTTGTAGAAGACAGTAAGCCCACTGAATTTGCTATACCTGTGATATACAGGTGAGTAGTTCTGGTGGCCACCATGGGTTTCTTCTTGAAAGGTTTCTTGACATGACAATCATGAACAGGTCTCAGCATGAGGATTTGAAAATCCTGCCTTTTTTGTACTGCTAAACTGAAGGGTCGTGTGTGTACAATGAAGGGAGCTCAGTTCTCCACCCAGGCGTGTGACATCCTCGTCTCTTTGTGTGCTCTGAGTCCAGTAATGGACTTCTGAGGGTGAAGCAGTTCACGTTGGCAAGTGGTGCCGTGGCCCAAAACAGGGATATTCCAGCTGACCATGCCATCGTGCTGCCTTGGAGGGGAGCCTGCTGTTCACAACTGGGACGCAAAGACAAGGGGAGCAATCTTGGACTGAAGCACATCACTGGGCGAAGCTTTCACTGAACTCAGGTACTTATCTGCTTGGACATGCTGCCACAGCTGACGCACGAAGGACAAGTAATTTAGATGATGTCTTCTAAATTGCCACAAACCCCAACTGCCATAATACGTGAAAGATCAAATATGCCATTTTTTTCCAACCCTGATCCAAAGCCCCTTGAAGTCTGTGGCAAGAAATCCGCTGGCTTCACCAGAGCTGAAAATGGGTCACTAATCCATGAATCCTGTTTCCATGATATCAGGAAGAAAAAGCCACTGTCCTCCATTCCTCACTCCTTGAACTTTGTTCTTGGATTCATACTTTATCTGTCCTTGAGGATTAAATGCATTGATTCCAGGAAAAACTTGTGGATCTATAATCTCCACTGTCACTCCCCTCCTCTCACTGCTTAGAGGTGCTGACAGAGGCACGCTCAGTCCTCTGGAGATGCACATAATTTTGGAGTCTGGCTTACACTGTAGAAGCAACTCGCCTAGGCTCTGTCCTCCCAGATGCTGCTACAGGGCAAAAGATTCCTACTGTACTACAAGCTGATATCCCAACCCATGATATTCCTTCCATTTCAAATAGAGACCTTGTAAAGAGATACCATTTTCTACATTTGTAAAAAAATAAGAAGAAAAATTTCCTTGGAACTTCTGGATATTTTTGCATAAAAAAAAAAGGTAAAAGCTACCTTTAAAAATTAGTCTTGTTTGTATTTGCACAAATACAGTATAGGAGCTGTTATTACTGGTTTTGACTACAAAAGTATACCACACGAAGGCTAAACTTTGGTTAATTTTTCCCCCTTTTATAAAAAAGTTTAATTTAGTGTTTGTCATCTTAAAAAAAAAATCGCATCGGTTGCACAATTATAAAAGGCACATAGAAACAACTGAAAGGAAAAAGTTAACTTTCCAACTTTAAATTGATTAAATAAAAATGAGCATTCCAGAGTACTTTCTATTTAAAAAAAAAAGGAAAAAAAAAGAAAAAAAAAAAAAAAAGAAATAGGAATTATGTATAACCAAACCAGACAAACAAATAGGTGGCTAAAAAGGCCATTTTTTTTGCTAGAGTTTACAGTATTGTTTTCTCTCTCATTATGGCTGTATAGGAAGCAATATTAAATAATCTATGATCAGAAATGACTTGATCCATATTTCCTAGACACTATCAATGCAGAATGAGGCAATGCTTGAAATATTTACTACTCCAGGCAACTCCATCATGTTTTTCCTTAATACAGCATGAAACCAGAAGTAATAGAGGAACAGAAGAGAGTTCAAAAAGAAGATCAACAGCAGAAGTGAATTCATTTCTTTGAGGTAATCCTTACTATGATGTTCACAGCTGCCCTAGTGGGTCTCAAGTCCCAGAAGTCATTTTCACTGTTCTTCAAGGATATCCTGCGTTACTCGAGGAAAGAACGGATGCACAGGCAGCAGCAGTTCCTGTGCCCAGATTTCCCCTAATTGCAACAGGCAGATTTTTCACCAGTAATTCAGGAATCAAGCCAGAGAGCCTAAGCAGAGATTCATTTATTCCCAGAGCTGATTGGTAGTTCCCAGCTATCTGTAGGTAGATCACGTGCAGGGTGGGTGCTGGCCCTCGGCCGAGCTCCCCGCGGTGACCTCTGCAGCAGTGAGATGCTCCGAATCCACCACAGATCCATGCCTTCAAACCTGGCTGCTGCCCACATCATCCTCGCTGAGCTTTGTTCTGCTGTGTGCTGGAAACTGCAGCCCCCACTTCTCCCTGTGGCCAGGGTCATCTGCCCTTGAAAAAATTTATTTTTTCAATGGAGGCAAGAGTCAAAGTTATATTGAACTCGAAGTCCCCATCGTGGACCCCCGTCTTCCGGAAGGCCCCAGCTGAAGCATTGTTTTCCCAGTAATGATGCCAGTGTCCTTTGCTGTCTGCTCCAAAACCATACACATTCACCTAGGAGGCAAGAGAGAACTAGTGTTATGGCCTGGAAAGTGATTGGCCTCCATCTGAAATGTTGGAAGAAACTCTCATGATCTGAGGACCTTGGTGCTGTGGGCTACATGAGATGATGCAGTCACAGAATAATGGTCCAAAGCCTACTCAAGGGATACTACATCCTAACCTATGCTGAGAACACCACCATATCTGAACTCAGAAAAGGAAATTTCTATCCATGAATTCTTGTTTAGCAACAGGAAAACATCCCTGTCCCCTAAGCACGATGTTTGATCTCAGGAGGTCAGTGGCTTGGGATGGGAATCTCCTCTTTAGCTGTTTAAAGCCACAAAGAGTGGAAAGACTTTGGGTTTGCTCCTTGTCTTCCAAATGGTGACCCAGTCAACCACCACTTATGTGCTTAATTATATGACATCTGTAGTCACTTCAGAGGCAGATGGACATGACAGTCTTTATGTGTGTATATGCCTCTGGCCTCTCCTCTCCCAGAGGCTCCTTCATTGATGGCTATGCTTGTCTCCTCTGGTGGTAAAAGTCCAAATGTGACAGTTTAAACTGAGAGTGGAGATATGGCTGGGTTTGAATGGCCCACAAAAAAGTGCCCAAACCCACCCATACTGGGACCCACCCCAATACAAGCTGGTTTTAAGTTATTTTTGGTAATGTCAGAGCCTTGCTCATTGACTGCCCACCAGAAAACAGACTCCATCCAAGCTGCCCATCCTATCTGCCTGGACTATGGTGCAGTTTCTGCCAGTATCACTAGCAGCATTTCCATCACCCCTCCAAGAAACACATGCCTAATGACAAAAGCTCTCTTTCCTCAGCAGATCTGTGATCAGGCCAGGGATTTTGCTAGCATAGTGATTTTTATTCCCCATGCTGACAAGACCATACTTGCAGGATTTTGTAGTGCTGACCTGGCGTTACACTAACTAGCTGTCTCCAGTCACCTATGAGCACCTCACATCACTCAAGCCAGGGAATTTCCTCAAGTAACTGCTAGAGCAGAGGCATTTACCATAACCTACTGTATAAACCTACAAGCTTGGGTTTGAAAACAGACCATCTACATTTCTCAAACTGGCTTATATAAGAGCTACTCATGGAAGTTCTTCAGGTGGGATTACATGTAAGGTTTAGATATCCAGATGGAGGTGCTTGAGCATCCATGACAGTCAGTGGTGATTCAGCCACAGTCACTGGAAAGCAGGGAGCAATCCTGCTCCCCTAATGTCTTACCAAGGAGAATGGTTTGCTCAGTCAGCCTCTTAGCTCCACTGATCTGACAGGCAAGACCTCAGTGCAGTTGTCCATGCATCAGTGCCATTTGAGATGTCCTTTAGCACTCAATGCATCTACTCAAGGCAGGCAGATTTCACACAAGGCCAAGAGATATGTACCTTTCTGGCCTGGCAGCTGGAGGCAGAGGGTGTGCCCAGGGCAACACCTATGGCTCTTAGTGCCTTTACAGTGAGACAAAATAAAATTTGGACTTCCACTAACAAGATGGGCACAGACATTATCCATATTTCAATGTCTTTAAATACCAAGTGGAATCCCACCCTGTATGTTTAATTACATTCTCCCAGAATGCTTCTTAAACCCTACCACTTGCTGACACTAAAAACATCCATCACTCTCAGTTGAGCATATCTGCATGTTTCTATGGACTCTGCATCTGTCTGAAGAAGCCAATGGCAGAGAAGATGAAGAGGAGGAAATAAAGGCTGAGTGTGTGGCCAGGGCATATCCCTGGCACTTCAGTGTGAAAAGTCCTGATTTTTTACCCATGTATCCAAACACAGCCAGGCTTTTACCTCATCGCATACATGGAGTGCAAACATCAAAGACAGAAGGCCTGTGGAGGGGTATCTCCCATGATTCTGGAGCCAGTTTTCATAGACATATTTCATAAAAGCTGGATTATAAACCAGGATCTAGGCATAATTGGAGAGAAAGACTCATTAGGAAAATGCTCTTGGGGAAAAAAAAAACATTAGCATGTCATCCCTAAAGGACACTGGTAGGGGAGAGGGAGAGAAAGGTGTAATAGTTATTCTCTGAGGGCAGGTGAAAGGGAAAAATAAAGTCCCATAGTTGTTAAATGCATTCAAGAATAGTTCCCATGCGCACATGAGTATTATTTCCTTGGTCTTGATATCCCACCTGCTTACACTAACATAAATCCTGGGTGATTCCTCCCGACACCAACGGGTATCAAATGGCACAAGTGAGAAGAAAATTAGGCATTCAACTCTCCCTGCAGTGTCCTGCTGGAATGTAGGTGAGCTCTGAGGAGTGGAGGCCCAAGCAAGGCAAGCTTAAGATGCCACGACAGATTTCACACAATCACAGAACCATTTAGATTGGAAAAGACCCTTGGATCATCAAGCCCAACTGTAACTTGGTTGGGAACATAGGAGCAATGTCTTGGCATCTCGTAGTTCTACAGATCTAAGGAAATCAGGGTTTCAGGTATAAACTATCAGGCAGCCTATCAGGTTGCATTTCTCTAGCTTCCCAAACACGCTATTTAAAAACAGAAAATTAATTCTTCTACAAAACATAAATTGCCCTTAGCTGTATCCTGGGGAAATTATGAGATCATCTAATGGAGACAGAGCACTTAAGATGAGACCTCAGACTACAGGAAATCCAAGGACTGGCATGAGCCCTTGGTTCAAGCCCTTCCCTGAATCAGGCAAAGGGGCTCTTCCCTCCGAGCTGGGTTTGGAGTTAGAGTGACAGTGTTTCAGGGCTACCAGCTTAGCTGCAAGGCTCCTCCTTTTACAAAGCCAGAGGCCAATTGCTGGTATTGTACCTGTGTGCAATGGCTTCTCACAGGGTGTTCTGGCTCTCACAGGCTGGTGGGGGAAGACATATGAGCTTCTCACCTCCCTGCTCAGGAAGCTGCTGAGTGCTGCCAACCATACCCTGGCCTGGTGCTACTCACCCGTGACGTGAGTTTAACAACCTGCTGTCGAGCATCTCACATGGGTGTTGCAGAGGCTGTTGTGTTCCTCACAACAGGTAGGGATGAGCTAAGTGATTACTTTATACCCCCTAGAGTTCCACAGATTGAAGCATGGGGATATAAACCATGTACTGGTTAAAGGTCTCATCTGAAGCCTCTAGCAAAACCTAGCCTCCTGAATGAAGGACATGTGCTTTAATCTGTAATTTTAATGCCCTGGGGCTAACTCTGGAGCTAACTCGAATGTTCTGGAGCCTGAACTCCTTTGAAAAGCAATCTCTCCAAAGGCTGAAAGAAGGAGACTTTTATTTTGCTGGAACGTGTGCGGAAGAGAAAATGTTCTTCCTCTCCCTACATAGCTACCTTGGTTAGTCCTCAAACCATGCAACTACAACAACCATCTGTGCATGGTGGGTAAAGGTCCAACATGAGACTGAGCATCCTGTCTCATGGGAAATCTATCTCCAGCAGCAGGGCATGTCTATTACACCACAGCACACTTGGGCAACGAGTTATTATGCATGGGATGGACTCTTCTGACTGTTGCAGGTTGTGAACCAGGTTTGGCCACCTTACTTTGACCTTCTCAGAGACATGAGGTGCCCTGACTGATTGCCTTCTACACATCCAGGCTATGAAAGAAAATGGGTCAGAGGTGTTTTGCTAGCCTAGAAGGAAGTGGCATGGCACAGATCATGTCCACATTGCTCCATTCTGTCCCTGTGCAAAACAGGGAGTATTCTCTGGTCTGTGCCATCCTCCACACCCTGCCTGAACATGGCTAAGGAGAGTATTAATACACCTTGGACAAAACCAGCATGGACTTAGCCTGAGCCCAGTCTCCTAGATGGTTTAGTTGTGTACAGGTAGTTATTACAGCTGCAGGCCAAGAGCCTTCCTGAAGAGCCATTGATACCATCATGAATCCTCCACTGACTTGAGAACTCAGAGTTCACGTAGCTCCTTATTAGAAGGAACTGACCTGGGAGTGAGAAACATCCTTAGTGTTCAAATAGTCAAATTATTCTGAAAAAACTCCAAAGCCTCAATCTCCCCGAGCAGTACCAGAAGCAGCAATGCAACCTTCAGAGCAGCAGTAATGCAATGGGACAGTCACAAGAGCAGTTTCTTTCTGACCTCAGTTATTTAGTGGTTGATCTATGGCCTGAACAGCAGACAGGAGTTAAACCTTTAGCTTAGCTGAGCCTTGTAAAGTATGTGTATTTTGACTGCAGTTTTTATGATTGTCAAGGGGTTCCTGGGGTTCTTGCAGTCTCCCAAAGAGGCAAAAGACCTGCAAGTGAATGAGTAGAACAAACTCACAAACCAGCACTGCTCACCTTTTCTTTTTTGACCTTGATTTTCCGTGGAACTGGAACATATGTGCTGTTAAAAGAAAAAAAGTAACACCAAGATTAATAAAATCCCACCAAATTAATACTTTCATGTACTTCCAAAGAAAGAATATTCTTCACGTACAGTAATAAATTCAAATGATTCAAAAGCAATAAATTCAAGAAGTTGTTGGAAAATGGACCTACAATTAAGTAATACAGGATGAAAAGAACTGAGCTGTCACTGAAGCAAGTTTCTAGGAAGCCATCACATTTTTAAATTTCCAAGTTAATAATTAACAGCAGGACACCAACGATCTAGTTGACAATATACTGTGGAGTCAATATTACATGGAGCTCATGACTTCTAATTCTTGGATTATGATTGTTGCAGCCTTTGCACTTTGGTGACAGGAAGGGCTTTCCATGTAATTTCGTGGCAGAAAAACCTTTTCCCAGCAGGGGGAGACTTTTCCCCTCCTAATACTTGTAGCTGCTGCATGATTTCCAAAGTAGGTGGTAGTAAAGTCACTGATTTCTGTGGCTATGTGGAACTCAGGCATTCCCAGTACACAGTCCCTCACCAGCAAGCTATTCTCCTCCTCCCCAGGGGAATGCTGAAGGCTTCCTGCAGTTCCCAGCATAAAATTTCCAAGTCATACCTTATGACTGGGTCAAAATCACAACTCATGTCTTGAAAACAAAAAACCTTTTCTTTCCCATATCTCATGCACAGTGCATGCTGGCATTTCACAGTTCAAGAGTGCTGTGCAGAAAATCTCCCTGGGTTTGTTTCCAGTGAAAAAACTCTGGTGAACTGGCCTCATAGATGTAGCATATCCCAAAATACACCCTGCATACTTTTTAGACAAGTCGTGGAAAATCTCCCAAGCCCTCCATTAATTCAGTCTAATTGGTAACAACAGGGTTCCTGTTATTAAGGTTTTACTTCTAGTTGAACCATGGATCATCAGCCCTTTGAAACGTTAGCCTTAGTCTTTCCAAACCAGTGGTGACCTGGCAATGTCCTCCTCTCTTTCAGGACTTGAGGAAGAAGTTCTTCACCATGAGGGTGGTGAGACCCTGGAATGGGTTGCCCAGGGAGGTGGTTGAGGCTCCATCCCTGGGGGTCTTTAAGGCCAGGCTGGATGAGGCTCTGGGCAGCCTGATCTAGTGTGACATGTCCCTGCTCATGGCAGAGGGGTTGGAACTGGGTGATCCTTGTGGTCCCTTCCAAACCTGACAGATTCTGATCTGTTTTAGCAGAGGACTTTAGAGCCCTAATGGCTCAATGGTTGGACTTGATGATCTTGGAGGTCCCTTCCAACCTAAAGGATTCTATGACTCTATGACTTCTGGGCATCCCTGACCTGTGATCCCTGCTCTGGGCTGGATGCACTGGGAGAGGTGACAGATGGGTTCCAGCCTTCTGAAGGTGTGACACAAGATGCTAATGAGGAAAGGGACACCCAAGCAGACTTCTTAATCAGCTCTGAACAAATCTGTCCTTCTATCTGCTTCCCACGCCTGACCTTGATTAGCGAAGTCAGTAAAGTAGGCTTGGTGATCCCATGTCCTTTTGGAGGTTATGTAAAGCAAAAGTGTTTCTTTGCTGGTAAAATCTCCTCATGATTATGTAAATAAACAGTAAATAAACATCTCAAAAAAGGTGAAGTGGAGGAAACAAGGGGGTCTACAGTAGAAGACCAAAGAGAATGGTATTCAGTATTCAAGACAGTACTTGCAGACAGCTCTGACCAACCAGGAGACTACTGTAACTCTTGTCAGATGACATGTTAGTCATTTTAATCATGGGATATTTAATTTTTGCAGAAGCCAGAGCCAAGTCCTGCAGTCCCTTAGCTGCAGAATTTCATAGAGCCACACGGAAAGTACTGGCACACTGATTAAAACCAAATGGTGATATGATGATGTAACTCCTGGGCTGCAGAGCACCCAGGGAGTTAGTGACCCAGTAAGTACCACACAGGAGTGGGACAGACAGTGAAACCTGTGATGAAGGTGGCTATGGATAGAATACATATGATTTGGAAAACACTTTTTATGAGCCACTTAGCAGGGCTCTAGTGAAGTCTCCCATCAGTACTGGCCACTTTGCAGAGGACATTTTCTGCACCCTTGACCCAAGTGGAAGGTGTGGAACATTTTAAGGAATACAAAAATTGCTGTTTGACAAACCCAGAGGAGATACATGGAGCTTTTTTCACTATGGACTAAAAGACTTGCAGAAGGACAGTTAAGGCAGTGAGGCTAAATATGAGACTGATGAGGGCCTGAAGGTTTTCTGTCCCAGAGGCTTTTCTTGGTCTTTTCTGGTGAGTCTCAGAGTTTTGAAATGGGACATCCATCAGCCAAATGGGACATGTCTGAGAGACTCATTCAACTATCAATTCAATCTAATATTAAGGCCATCTGCAGTTTGGCTTTTGTTTTGAACCATAAAACTTCCTTGAATATAGTACTACTGGGAGGAGAACATGACTCATTTACAGGGTTTGAGCCTTAGGAAATTCTTCCTTAATTTGGATAGGATGCAGAAAATGACACATTGTGTAAAAGTCTAACCAGTACAGGATGCTTCTCTTTTTTAACTAGGAGTGCAATTCAGGTTCTTGTTAAGCTAACCTCAGCTGATACAATGCAGCCTGTGCACAAGGCATGATGGCCATGCAGGTCAGGGTAAGGAGGTATTTCTTCTCTTCCAAAATACTGCACGGGATTCATCTTTATTTCATGCCTTCTCTCCTCTACAAATGTATAGTCAACAATTTCCTTACACACTGTATCTGACGTGTGTTTAATGTGTGCTCAGAGGTTTATTCTGCTAGAATAAAATTATGTTACATATATTGTTATGATTTGTGTGTTTATGATTTTCTGGTTTTATTATTCCAGCATGGACCAGCTTATTAATTATGCAATATCCCTGCTTTGAGTATGGCAAAAATCTTAAAATACTGGTATGTCTTCCATATGGTTAAATACACATTAATTTATACGAGCTGCTTGCCAAGCCATCTATACAATGTAATTATAAATATATAACACATCCTGTAATTTATTAAGCAAAAATGTTGTTTCTATCATGGTTTGTGGTTGCCTTGTAGTCATGCAGTAACATCTTCCTGATAGGCTAAGGCCTACTGCTGCCACTTCTGAAGGAAAACACTCAACCAAAGGTAGTGAACAGCTTTGCAATGTGGGCACAGAGCAATGACAGTGATGGCAACATGGATGGGTGACAGTGAAGCCACTGTGGGCTCCTCTTTCTGGCCCAGGCACAGGTATAACAAAGATGCAGCAAGGGGCTTCATTTAAAGGCCATTGTGAGCTTTCCATTGCTTCTGATAGGATTTGGATCCAGGCTTAAGGACAGAAGTTCTCAACCTTTTTTATCAATATAACTTCTAAAAATAAAAAAAAAACAACTAAGCCTTACAAAAAAGGTGATAGTTTTCATCCAATTTTATAAGCAGGATGATTTTTCCAAGTTACAAACATGCTCTGAAGATTTTTTTGTTTTTCAGGACAACTTCTGACTATATATACTAAGTGCTGGTGGCAAAAAAAAGGTAAAAAGAGACTAAATCACATTTGTTACAAGTTAAGAGAATCTTAATAAGAAGTGAATAGAATCTAAAATGCATTTGGAAAGAGAGAAAATAAAAAGAAAAGAAATAAAACTCCCTTTGTTGTCCTATCAGAATGTTTTCCCTAAAAACACAAAGCGGGTCTTATGCTCAGACAAGAGGGACATACTTTTCTAAGTTTTTAATCTTCTGAGA